GCAAACATAGCAAGTAAAGTAGTCTTGGCAAAGAAGAAAGACGGTGGTTATCGTGTTTGCATAGATTACCGTAAACTAAATGCTGCTGTGTTAAAGGATCGTTTTCCTGTGCCAATTATCGACGAAGTGTTAGAGAAGATGCAGTCAGCGAAATTTTTTTCTGTAATGGATCTCAGAAATGGGTTTTTCCACGTACCGGTGGAGGAAAGTAGCCGAAAATACACAGCATTTGTAACCAAAGAAGGCTTATATGAGTTCACTAAAGCACCATTTGGGTTTTGTAACTCCTCAGCAGTGTTCATGCGGTATGTTAATTACATTTTTCGGCAGATGATAAACGATGGTATTATGGAATTGTACGTATAAGATACAGTCGTTTTCGGACAGACAGCGGATGAGTGCCTTAAGCACGTAGAGAAGGTATTGCAGAAGGCGCAGAGTTTTGGCTTGGAAATCAAGTGGTCAAAGTGCAAGTTCTTAAAAGACAAAATTAGTTTTTTGGGTCATGAAATTCAGAACGGTAGTACTTGGCCTGGAAGAGATAAAATTAAAGCAGTTAAAAATGTTGTTGTACCGAAAAATATTAGGGGCGTGCAAGCTTTCCTAGGGTTGACGGGATACTTTAGGAAATTCATCCAAAATTATGCCATCATGGCTAGGCCGCTAACACAGTTGTTGAAGAAGGAATCTGAATTTCAAATTGGTCCGAAGCAACAGCAAGCAATACTTGATTTGAAGACAGCGCTTAAGCAAGAGCCCGTTTTAAAAATTATTAAACAGAATGGTAAAACACAACTTCATGTAGATGCGCCCAAGTATGGGTTTGGCGCGACATTAGTACAAGAGTATGAGGGGAAGTGCCATCCTGTGTTTTATTGGAGTCGAAAGACTTCACTGCAAGAAGAAAGACTTCATAGTTACTTCCTTGAAGTCAAAGCTGCGTACTTAGCAACTAAGAGATTACGACATTATTTAATGGGCATTCAGTTTGACCTCGTTACCGATTGTGCGGCGTTTAAGCAGACAGCCGCTAAAAAAGACGTACCCAGGGAAGCAGGTGCAAGTACAAATTCAGAAAGCACAACAAACCGATGAGCATCTAAAAGCGGTAGCAGCAGTTCTCGACAACAAACCATACGCAGATTATGTAATGAACAACGGAGTATTATATAAGCAGTTGAATGGCCAAGAGTTGTTGGTAGTACCGCGAAATATGGAAAAAGAAATAATACGGAATGCTCACAATTTCGGTCACATGAACTCACAAAAAACGTTGCACGCAATTCGACAAGACTTTTACATAGCGCATTTAGAAAAAAAAGTGAACCAGCATATTGCAAACTGTGTTGAGTGCATAATACACAATCGTAAAGCGGGGAAGCAGGAAGAGTTCCTGCATTGCATAGATAAGGGTGACTGCCCACTTGCTACTATCCATGTCGATCATTTGGGTATCTTAGATTCAACGTCGAAGAATTATAAGTACATTTTCGCTATAGTTGACGGTTTTTCCAAATTTGTTTGGCTATTTCCGACCAAAACAACAGACGCGCAGGAAGTAGTAAAACATTTGAGTACATGGGCCACAACATTTGGAAATCCGCAACGCATTATAAGCGATAAAGGCGCAGCATTCGTATCAAATTTATTTAAAGAATTTTGTAACGAAATTAAAATTGAACACGTTAAAATAACCACAGGCGTTCCGAGAGGCAATGGCCAAATTGAGCGAGTCAATAGAGTAATTCTCTCGATGTTGGCGAAGTTGTCAGCTAGTGAGCCAGCTAAGTGGTACAATTATACGTCGGTGGTACAAAAGGCTATCAATGCGCACGTTCACTCGTCAACGAAATTTACACCATATGAGATTATGTTTGGCATAAAAATGAAAAGCGAGATGTCTACCGATATAATAAATCTACTTCAAGAAGAATTATTGGTCGCATTTCAAGATGATCGTCGTATTCTGAGAGAAGAAGCCAGGGTCAATATTCAGAAAGCTCAAGAAGCGTACAAAAGAAACTTTGACAAAAAGCGTAAAAGCAGTCAAGACTACCAAAAAG